CTCGGGGCGGCTCACAACATAAATTAAAATATAATACATTAAAAATATAAAACAAATTAACAATATAAAATAAGTCGCCCTGTACTTGGATTCTGAGCCCCCCCCCCTTTTTCCAGATTGTCCTGTGCATTTAGAAATCCACAGGAAATTAATGAATATGATATTTGGACAGCTTAACTGCTTTCCTCAGCCTGGTGTCCTCTGGATGTCTTGGACTACACTACCCATGATCCCCAACATTGTCTGGGGAAACAGGAAAAAATAGAGAGTTGTTGACTGCATCCCTTCAGTCTTCAAGAGGTTAGGTTTGGGATTCAAGTGCTCCAAGTTCCCCAAAATGTTGATAGAAAATTTCCGGGGGAAATTGCTCAGGCATCTCATTTCTTTTTCTAACATGCAAGAGGTATTTCTATCCTTCCAGTTATTCAAATGTGGAACCTGCCATTCCCCAGCAACCTCCCCCACCACCCCAAGTTTTAAGCAGCTCAGTCCAGGAAGAACGTGACCACTTCTGCTAATGCAAACGAGTTGTGGGTTCTTTTTGTGTGCTTGTGAAGAGCAGAAGGCAGAAAGAAATGGACTTCTCTGGCTGGGGGAAGGTCCAGTGTGGGCAGGCCTCTCCAATCCTGCTTTCCCCCAGCTAGCACCTGCCAGGTGTGCCATCCCCAGCAGTCCTGCCCCCCCCCTCCCGAGTTGCCACTTCTGGGCCACCTGGACCGAGCGCCCGACCCTGCACGAGGCACCCTTTTAATCCACCTAGTCTGGCCTGGCCCTTGACCCTCAGGTGCACGTGGGAACTGGCCCGAAGTCTCCCAGGTGCAAAGCTGGAGGGCACGTGGCCGGGCGTGAAAAGCAATTTCGGCAGCAGGAGGATCCCGCCTCTGCCTGCCAGTCCCCACCCACTGACAGCCCCCCTTGGACAGGACCTTGCAAAGCGCCGCTTCCCGTCCTTGCGCCATAACGGGAGCCCTCGGGGACATCCGCACGTCCATGAAGCCGCTGTCTGCTTCGTCTGCCCTGCGCCGCAGGGAGGGGGGCGAGGCGGGGGGGGGCGGCACTCGCTGCTTCGCCTGCTCTCCGTGGGGCTTAGACGACCGTCACGGAAGAGCCTGCCACGAGCGAAGGGGGCAGTTCCTCCCATTGTCCCCCCCCCCCAACCCAAAGGCCAGGCTTCCCAGAAGACAGATGTTCGGAAAGTCCCGTTCCACGATTCCACAGCCCCTGCCAGGAAGTGATTGTGGGGAATTGCCGGCCCAGCTCTTGCTCAAGGAGGAAAGAAAAGGGATCAGCGAAGAGGCCCTGGGCTGGGTTGCCAGCTGACTGGTTCAAACGGCCATGCACTGCTCCTGCGCCCTTAGCACCAGCCTGTTGCTAGAGAGCAGGTGTCGCTTCTCACGGCATGGGGATCAGCGTCAACGCCAGTGTGGCGTGGTGGTGAAGAGCACAGGACGGGGACTCCGGAGACCCGGGTTCTAGTCCCCGCTCAGCCATGGAGCCAACTGGGTGACTTTGGGCCAGTCACAGGCTCTCAGCCTGACCTACCCCACAGGGCTGTCGTAGCAGGGATAAGCTTGAGGGCCGCAGAAGAATGATGCAAGCCACTTTGAGTCTGTTGTCAGGAAAAGGGAGGATAGAAATCTAACAAACCAATAAAGGATCATCAGTCTGAAGAGGAAGCTGCAGGGAAAGACCTCCATAACTCTCTTTGAGGGTTGCATTTTTAAAGCCTGGTGTGGCAAAGTGAAGGCTCCCCTTCGCCCCATGCACCCCCCTGTCTCCATGCTTCCCCTGCCCACTTTGTGTGGGCTGGGCGGCCGTCAAGAGCGCCGGAGCGAGGGCTGGATGCAGGCGGGGGCCAGTCTACCCTGCCGCCCGCGTCCGACTGGGAATAGCGCTGCTGACACCTCGTGGCTGAACTGAGCAGCGGCCGGGAGGCTGAAGGGGCGCTGCTCGCTCCGTGCCGCTTTGCCCAACTGCACAACCGGTGCCGGAAGGGTGGCTCTTGTGGGCAAAGGAGAAGGCCCCCCGTAGCCCCCCCCCCCAAGCTTCTTGGGGGAGCCAGGATGAGATGCAGCAGGTTAACATGAATGGAACGCCAACAACTCACAGACACATTCTCAATAAAAAGTGTCCATTGCGAAAAAGCCGGAGGCGGGCGACCGTTTTGCTCCCAGGGCCGGATTGCGATGAGACCCACGGCCAAGATGTGGTGGGCAGGCCGGGGGCTCCTGGTGGGCATGGCTGGGACCCGCGGGTTCCGTGGCTGGGACCCTTGTGGTTTGCCGATCGGCCCCGGAGCACGTGAGCGCCGTCCCCGGGCTCCTCCGCTGGTTGCAGCACCAACCAGCTGGGCACAGGCAGACGTGAATACTGCGTGCACATCTGTCCCCGTGTAAGGAGCCTGAGGTGACTTACCAGTCTCCTCCTCGCCATTGTCCCGCACAACAACAGCCCTGTGAGGTAGGCTAGGCTGTCCAATCACCCAGTGTGTTTCACGGCTGAGTGGGGACTAGAACCCGGGTCTCCCACATCCCAGTCCGGCGTTCTCCTCGTCACACCATGCTGGCTGTCCATTATTATTTAAAAGAGGCGCTGTCCCTTTGCCCAACCTCTGCATTTAAAGCTTGCCGACCATTGGCCATGCTGGCTGGGGCTGATGGGAATTGAAGTCCCAAACATTCAGGGGGCACCAGACTGGGGACGTCTGGCTTAGAGGAACCATCGGGGAGAAGCCTGCCTGCCTGTCTTCTGGTCCGTTGGCGCTTGTGGCTTTTGATGCAAGCTGCTGAGGAATCTAATGCTCTGTAGAGGGGAAGCAACCCGCTGAAGTCCAGCCGGGGCTGCCCAGCCAGTCAGTGGCTTGGACTCAGCTCCCCACCACATGCGTGGGAAGCAGGTTTGCACGCTCCTGACAGGAAGGGTGGGGCCAGTCTCTGCCTCTCCCCATCAGTGACTTTGCAGGGTCATTGCAGAGACACCGTGCTGTCTGTCTCCCAGGAAGTGAAGTCACGTCCATGTGCTTGCATTTTGCACCGCTTCACAGACCTCGCAGATGCGAGCGTGCAGGCGAGAAGTGCAACCAGCCACGAAGCGGTGCGGAAAGTCCTTAGCCCACACTGGGAGTGCTCACGTCCAAGCTCTGCCAACCTCCGGGCTTCCCCCGAGGATGCAGAGACCTGCCTGGCAGGAGGTCCCTGGCTCTGCTTCAGCATTGCAGCCTGCAATTTACCGTTAACGCTTTCCCCATCAACAAAACCTAAGTCACAGTTGGGGTCCCTTTTGACCCCAGCCAAAAGTGTCACAGGACAGAAAAATGTTGCTTCTGGTGTTTTTGCGATCATCCCTTCACCTTGGGGTTCTGGCTTCCCCCAACTCACATCCTCCACTATAAGTTACATAGGTTGCTCTTTCCTTCTAGGATGTTGTTACAAAGCGCCTAGTCCAAAAAATCCCCACATTTCAGCCTCCCGACTTTTACTTTATCTCTCTCTGAATCCAAACATGCCCCTGAATTCCCTCCCCACCCTGAGAGTTTCAGTCAGCAGAAGAACTTTCAGCACTCAGTTGAAAGGTAGGTTAAGGCTGACTGCATCCTGAGCCTATGCAGAACAATAAAATTTGCATAACATGAAAAAATGTATAACTATTGACCTTTTCATAGAGGTAGTTTGGCCTACTCACTTAAAAAAAAAAGAAAAGCTTTTGCTAATGGACTTACCTCAATTCACTGAAGTTTTTAGCTAACAAATTTAGCTTCAGAAAGTGACCCAGATTACTTTTATTTAACTTTCTTTTGTTTATTTGTTTGAGACCAGTGGTGTGGGGCAGAAAAGTACCCCACATAATTATTCTTATGGAAATTTGACGGTTGCCTCTGCTTTGAGTTTCATTGCTGAATTCTGACTGAAGTTCTTCATGGAATTATTTTCCTTCCCTGCCTTTCGGTATTTTTTTCTCCTTTGGCTCCAGGTGGCACTGCCCTGGTGGAAAACATGTTTTCTTTCACTGTAGTCAAAACAAGTCCCCTGTTTTCCCCCTCTTTCCTATCCACCCTATAGCATGACACTGCTATTAAAAACAGAAGTGAAACTGGATGGTGTGTTGTGTAAAGAATCTGTAAACAACTGTGAGTGAGGAATTATGAGTATATTATTTTTATTCTATTTTTAGTGCATGGTCTTTGTAAATTGTTGTGAAACTCCTGGGACACTTTGGCTACTGGGCAGTATAGAAATAATATAAATAAAAACCATCAAAATCATTTAGAAAAACTGCATGGGTCACCACTATTCTTGGCCTGGATAAAAACAAAACCCAGGAGCATTAGTGCTGTCCAGTCCTGAGAATTGTGAAGCCTGTTTGGGAAGAAATTTATCAGCTTCTGATGATACATTTCAGCTTTTGTTTTGCGGGGCGGGGGGGTTCTGTGCCTCAGAGCCCCTCCAATCACCGACATGACTCTGGGAAGGTTCGGCTTTGATTTGGGCGATCTGTCTTCAATAGGAACATCTCCCGAATCGTTCTGCATCAGCCTGATTGAGTACTGGATTTGTTTACATCCAGTGGACCCCTTTTTCCTGATCCAGTGGGCCTACTCTTCCAGGAGCAGGGGCAGCCAGAGGTGACCCATGCCCAAGCCGCTGGGAGGCCGTGCCGGAGCTCGGAGCAGCCAACGGACTGGATCTCCACGCTCTCCCTTGTGGAGACAATTCGAAAGAGAAATTGCTTTCTCATGAGAACGGGCGAAGTAGCTGCTGAGATGCGTGGCAGAGGCAGTTTACCAACGCATCCTCTTCTGCTCCCTGTGCTATTGCGAAACGATGATCAGTTACTCTCTTCCTTGTCTAGTTCTCCATTCCTGCTTTCTCTTTCACCTAGGCCTCTTTGGCAATGACCCTCTCGCCTTGGGAAACCCTGCCCACAGTTTTCACGAGATAAAAGACCCAGCGGGAGACCACGAGCCCCAAGGAATAAGCAGCGTCTTGAACCCCAGGGTGCTCTCTTGGGCACCTTCTCTCCCACAATGCAGCGGAACAGACTAGCAGTCCTGGCAGGTGAGATGGGGAAGGTGGGCGGCCGAGGAAGGCAGGGCATCGTCATCCACTGGCTAACGGAGCGGCGTTTCAGCGGCTCCTCTCCCTGAACCCCGCAACAAGCTCCAGTCCTCCTGAAAGAGCGACAGCTCCAGGAATTGGAGGGTGCTGGAGAAAGGCTCCTTACAGGAGTCCCATCTGGCTTCTTGCCCCTTACAGCTGCTCTTGCTGGCTTGAAAGGCAGGGGCAAGGAGGCAGCGACAAAGTGTTCAAAGACAGGCTGGACACGCACATGGAGGGCATGTCCTGGGCGGGGCTGGCTGGAGCTGGGGTCAGACTAGATGGCCCGGGAGACCCCTTCTGACTCGCTCCATTCTATGTTCCTTCTGGCCAAAGCCGATTCCTGGGCTGAAGGGAGAGACAGAGGGATGGAGCAGCAGTAGCGGGGGGCTTCAGCTGGTGCCTTGCCTCAAGGCTGGCCCTGCGCATCCACACAGGGTACCAGAGCCAGATCCATTCGAGGAGCTTCAGGAAACAGGAGAGGCTGAAGCTGAGTGTGCCTCACCAGGCCGGGGGCGACAGGAAGGAAGCTGACGCAGGGCATTGCTAGAGAGAGGACTCACCCAGCCCGGTTCCTGCTTACTCCATCTGGGTCTTCTCTTGCAGCGCTGGCCTTGGCCTACTCCCTCGTGTCTGTGGAAGGCGTCAGCATCGCCCTCGTCCCTCCACACCCCCATGTGGGGCAAACGGTCACTCTTTCAGTGAAAGGCATAGAGAATCCATCCATCTGCCTTTGGTTCCGGGGACACAGGAGCACCAAAGGCCAGATGATCTTCAAAGCGGTGTTTGGGAAGATGATCGAGAAAGGCCAGAACTTCAATGGGCGCCAAAGCTTGGGGGAGAACTGTGCCTTGGTCATCCAAAGCCTGCATGACTCCGATTCCGGAGAGTACTTCTTGGTGGCTCTGCCAGGACGGCACTCAGATCAAAAGTGGAGACAAGCTTTGGCATGGCTGCGGGTTTCCAGTAAGTATGGCGAGGAAGATTCTTCTGGGCACGCAGCGGAGGAGGGTCCTCAGAGATGCAGAATTCAGCCACATCTTGCGATTGCCCCATCCAGACTGGAAGTGGGAACTTTCACTGGGAGGGGCCCCCTTGGAAGGGGGTACCGTGGCCCTTGCTTAGCTCCGTATCCTGGCTCACTTGCACCTTGGCAGCCTTGGCCTATGAAATTGCCTAAGTGCCGTGCTTGGGGGGCTGGGGGTGAACCAGGGGGTGCATTGCTCCCCAAAAGTCCTTCAATTCCCTGCATCGCTGGCACAGACATGCCAGGAATTGCAGGTCTTTTCCCAGTCTGACGATGCCGTGGATTGCAGCCCGAATGAAAAGATTTCAGCTGTCAGAGGCTAAATCGTCCTGGGTTCCATCCAACAGCCTGGCATGCAGAACTCCAAAGAGCAACGCACTTCCCTGATTCAGTGGAAAGCCAGGAAAAGGTTTGCTTGCAAATTTGATGGGCCACATTATCAGTGCAGGACTGGGGACCAAAGCGAGGGGGCACCTATAGCGGTGGCTTGTTGTCCACTGATCAAGGACCCCTGTCCCCTCACACTTTCTTCCATTGTTGTTGCAATTGCTGTTTGATCTGGAAATTCAGTGGGTTGTGCTTTTGGTATCGTGAAAAAAGTGCCCCATAGATCATGGCCATTCAAGGCCCAGTAGCAGAGTTCAGGAAAAATGTTGGCAACCCCGGTTGGGCCACCGTTAGGAGTCTGGGGACGTTTGAGGAAGTTTGCTTCTCACCCATCAACTGCCTTCATCTTTTCCCAGGCTGAAGCAACTCACCTGGGATTGGGCCAGAGAGCTAACGGCTCGACTCCTGCATCTCAGGAAGCCGATGCTGCAACCTGCTGGCCAACAGGCGAGCTGAAGGATGATGCAGTGCTTCAGCTTTGCCTTTCTTCATTCCCCTCCTGTCCTCCTGCCTTCCTCCTAAGGAGACAGCAGACTCCAATAAACTCCGCATTGACAAGTCAGAATGCAGCCTGGAGGCGTGCTTGAGGAAATGTGCATCGTTTTTCAGAGAGGCTCCTGGGAATATCACTTCGGTCCGTTTTCCCTCCCTGCAGGTTTCTCATCTGCTACACCACATAGCACTGAATGTGCTCAGTTCTTCTCAGTCTGTTTTGGTGGTTCCTGGCACACTTTAGGTTATTTTCGCCCCCCCCCCCACAAGATTTCTACTTCTCCTCCTCTACTTCTGCATGTCTGTATGTAAACTTTCCCTGCTCCTTTCTCCTTCTCAGGCTGCTGTTTTGGTTACATGAGCGATCGTTGTCTTCTCTGGATATCACAAATAAAGCATTTAATGTCCATGTCTGAATTTGTGATTTTGTTTTGCATTCGTCCAGCAAGGGATAAATTCAGTGCAGGGCAGCAGTGGCTGAATCACAGGGATAACAAAAGCCAAGTAACATGTAAAGGGCTTTGCTAGGGAGAAATTCAGCAGATCAGTTCCTTGGAATGCGTGTTCTGTGATGGAAAATGCCTCACCTTCTGCTTGGAGCCATTTTCTCCATAAGGCTAAAGTGTGAAAATACAGACCCTTCTCCGAATTTCACAAATGTAAACTCCTGAAATTTGGATGTGCACATTTTCAGAATCTTGCACTTTCAAACTCGAGTGCAAATACTGGAAATGGTGAACCTTTTCCAAAACGTGCATTCCTGTTCACATTTGGAGTTCCAAATACAGCATGTTTGCATGATGCATACAGATAAATGAAATTCTCGTGCTTCTCTAAGTACATGCTTTGCTTGGACGAGGTTCTGAGTTTTGTCCACAGCATCTGCACTTCATAAAACAGATCAGAGGGCGGGTGCTAGAAGGGACATCTCTCAGTCTGAGAGGCTGAAGGACCACTGTCAGTCAAAGCTGACAGATGGAAAAAGAGCCAGTGTGGCGCAGTGGTTAAGAGCCTGGGACTGGGACTCAGGCGATCTGGGTTTGAGTCCCATCTCAGCCATGGAGTCAACCGGGTGACTTTGGGCCAGTCACAGCCTGTCAGCCCAACCTACCTCACAGGGTTGTTGTTGTGGGGATAAGATGGAGGAGGAGATGTAAGCTGCCTTGAGCCCTTTGTAGGAAAAAGGCAGGATATTTATTTATTTAAAACATTTATATGCCACCCCCATCGCAACAAAGCCTCGGGGTGGCTCACAACAAGAACAAAATATACAAATATAACAAATTATACAATAAAAATATTAAAACCCGGTGCATCTCAGCTTAAAAGATTTAAAATCCTATAAATACCAATGAATTAACAATTAAAATAAGTTTTAAATAGAAAGGTCTTAGCCTGGTGCCGAAAAACAAATAATGATATAAATGGAAAAATAAATAAATAAATAAATAAATAAAAGCAAATTGTCTGTGTGAGTGTGAAGAAGCACCCTATGTTGGCAGTGTGTTTACTTCCCATGGGGGTGCGTAACAGCTTTTAGCTTGTAGGAAATGTTCCATTTTGGGGGACTTCGGGGGGTTACATCCCCCCTAGTGGCACCCCAAATGGCAGCACTTCTTAGCTGAAGGCCCTTACCTGCCAGAAAGTAACCTTTTGGATTGACCGGACACATTCACAAAGCAGGAAACCATCAAACGGTTCTGGGGAATGATGATGGGGTGAAGCTGGGAAATCTGAGAAGGACAGATCAGTCCCCCAGGCCTGTGCTCCCATGCTCCTGACTTAGATCCAACCAACAATAAAATCAGGCAGGTGTATAACTCAGTGCTGGGAGTTGTAATATGATTATTACATCATATTTACATCCCACCTTTTTTCCTTTTGCGAGGAACGCTAGGCAGCTTACATCATCTTCTTCCAAGCCATTTATCCTCAAACAACAACCCTGTGAGGTAGGTTGGGTGGAGAGTCTGGGACTAGGCCAAAGTCACCCAGTTGGCGCCATGGCTACGTGGGGACAAGAGCCTGGCTCTCCCGGGTCTCCAGGACAACAATCTAACTTCCAGGCCACAGTGACTCGAAAATTATAAAATGTTTTTCTGTTGAAACATGCCCAAGATTGTGCTGTTAGTCACTAAATCCCAAGTTAGTGTTAGTCACTAAATTTGAAGTTGAGTTGACCAGCCTTTTTAGCCTAAAGCGGCTACTGCTAGTGGGTAAGTCTTACTGGTGGTTGGAGGAAAGGGGTGGAGCCAGGAGGAAGGGGGTGTCTTGTGGGCTACGCTGAAAAGCCAGGTGGCACCCCAAGGTTTGGCCTTCCGATTGTCTGCCCTATAGAGAAAGAATCGTCCAAAGGGGAGGAAACCCGAATAGAAAAGCAATGATGACTCTCCTGGCTGAACTAGGCGGCACAACACTTTCTGCTTGCCCAGATCTTCTATTATTTCATTGTTATACCAGGATGGAAACCGCAAAGTTGTTGTGAAAGAGGAGAGGGAAGAGCAGAAAACTGCTAACGTAGTGAAGGAGGCAGGGATAGTGTTTTGAAACCTGCACAGACTGAAAAGCCCTGTGCTTTCCCCACTGATTCAGTAATGCTTTGTCAACGGAGCTTATTCAGTTGGCCTATTCATCACGAGAAGTCACTGAGTGCAGAGCAAGAACGCCTCCAAATTCTCTGAAAAAGCAGCTGGATCAACTCTTGCAAAAATTTCAGGCAACCTGTTCGCTGTTACTGGAGGATGGCAAAGGGCGGGGGGGGGGGGGCTTGGCTCTGGGTGTAGCTTTAGACTCTCTCCTGATGGGGAACTTGCAGTGGGCACGATACGCAAGAGTCAGGACTCTGGAGACCCTGGTTCTACACCCACCCCCATTTGGCTAAGAAGCTCTCTGGGGGCCCCGGCCACTATCTCCCAGCCTGATCTACTTCACAGGATTGTTGTGAGGATAAAATGAGGGGCAGAACTCTGTGTCTGTCTTGGGATGCTTGAACGAAAAGGCAACAGGCCCTGCCTTTCAAGGTTGCTAAAATGCAGTGCGACAAACGCCCATGCCAAGGTTCTAAAGTCTGAAGCCCAATTCTGATGTTGGCCGCTGTTTCGGCTTCCTGGGCTGGGGTCCCTCCTCAGACGATGAGGTTCCTTAGGGTAGCCCTGTACCCTTTTTTGCAGAGGCCAGTGCCCTGGTTGACAGTCTGTTTGTGTCTGGCGTGAGGGGAAGGAACCCAGAGAAGGGCTGCATCTCAGCGGTGGACTGGACTGGCAAGCATATTGGTCAGCTGCTGGATGTCTCCTGCATTATGGGGAGAAGGCATATATTCTACTTAACTTATAATAATTGTTTCTAGCTTTGCATCCATGCATATGCATCAGCACATGCAAATTTTATGCAGTCCTGGTTTGCCTCGTGTTTTCTTTTTTGATGATGCATTTCCTCTCCTTTAGTGATTCATAAGTGGTTGGGATGGACACACAAGCAGAAAAGAATTTCCGCCTGATGCACATGTCCTTTGCTCATTGCTGTCAGGTTGGCTGATGAGTTCCTTTTAAGCTCTCCCTTTCCTTATCCCAGGCCCACTTTTGAAGTATTTAATTCTTTTTCCTCGCATCACCATGACACTTTGTAAAATTTCCTTTAAACCAAAGTATAAATTGGATATTGTGCTATGGCTTACCTTGACTGGTAAACCTCTGCTTTGTTCTGTGTACCAGTTTTTGTTTTGCTTTGTTTAGTTTAGCTACAAAGTCATGCCCAACCTATCACGACCCCATGGACAACATTCCTCCAGACTCTCCTGTCCTCCCTCAGAGCCCACCCAAGCCCACACCCACTGCCTCAGTGACTCCATCCAGCCACCTCATCCTCTGCGTCCCCTTCTTCTTTTGCCATCTATTGTTCCCAGCATTAGGCGCTTCTTTAGTGAGTCCTTCCTTCTCGTTAGGTGGCCAAAGAATTTGAGTTTCATCTTCAGTATCTGGCCTTCTATCTGGCCTTCTAAAGAGCAGTCAGGGTTGATTGCTGCGTACCAGAATGATCCCTAAATAATTTGGGAGCTTTAAGGCCCTGAAAATATTTTGAACAGGAAAATATGTTAAACAGCATTGCTTTGAATGATAGGAGAGTGTTTACAACATACAAAACAACAAGCATCAAGGAACAATTAAAAATGACAATCATAAAGCATCAGCAGGAGTGCTAAAATTTCACTAAACTAAAAAAGTGTGTCCCCTCCCCCAAATTGGCCAAAGGGCACAATTGCCACATGCTCAAGACAGAAAAGGTTCGACCAGTTTCAGTAGCTCCTTCCCACCACCGTGGACCCCTAATTTTCAAGGGATCCTTTGTCCTCCAGGCTTGTGAACGAATGAATATCGAGCCCAGCTCTGGGTGCTACAATTTACGAAGGACTTCTTGAAATTGGAGCATCTCTCCAGAGGAGGGCGATCAAGGATGGTGGAACGAAACTCAGAGAAAGAACCGCATCTGTTTAGTCTGGAGAAAATGCAGGGCAGCGAGAACTGTCCTGGTGTATCTGAAAGTCTCCTACACAGGCGGAGTAGACCGTGCTTCAAATCGTCAGAGCACTGGACTAGAATTGGGTAGGTGGGTGCTGCAGGGAAGCGGTACCTGGAGAAAGATAAGGAGAAACTTGCTCATAGCAAGCGCTGTTTGACACAGACCAGGCTGCCTTCCCAGCCGGCAGTTTCCTCCTTGCTAGAGAAGTTAGACAGAAAAATATCCTACCATTATAGGGTATTTTCCTATCTAAACATGCATAGAGCTGTTCCTTAAATGGGCACAGCATTTCTCGCTATTTTTCTCTGTACAAGAAGAGGCCAGTGCGATATGGTGGATAAGAATGCAGGACTGGGACTCAGGTGACCGGGGTTGTAGTCCCCACTGGGTGATTTTGGGCCAGTCACAGACTCTCAGCCCAGCCTACCTCTCAGGGTTGTTGTTGTGGGGACAAGACTGAGAGCAGGAGGAGGAGAATGATGCAAGCGGCTTTCATTGCTTTCAAAGAAAAAAATTGTGGGATATAAATCTAATAAATAAATAAATATGTCTCAGGTTCTCCTGTTCAAAGTATAATGTTTAATGTTTCCTGTTCAAAGAACTGGAACAAGGCCAGAAAAACAAAAAACAGTCTGGCAACCAGTATGTTGGTTGGTTTGTCAACAAGAAACACACACACACACACACACACACACAAACAGTAATCTTGGCTCATGTGTGCCTGACAACAGCTTGATCAGATGGACTCTGGCTTTCATGTGATGGAAAACAACTTGATTACCTGCTAAACTTTACCTGTACCAAGTGTCAGGCACAGCAGGAGAGGTCAGTAAAGATACTGGCAATATGATCCCCCTTCTGCCTTCTGCATATCTTGGCGTTTATGATGTGCCATTTTTATTCTTTGCTTTGCAGTTTGCCTTTTAAGTTTCAAGCATGTGGATCATTGCCCCAAAGTGTGAAATTAAACAGAATAAAGTAAAATAAATGTCAAGAATGATTGAAGAAACAGAGCAATGCCAGGAAAAAAGTTTGTGTGTTCAGTATTTGGATGTTTGCAGAGGGCATAAATAGCATCTCAAACAGTGTCTGGCACACATTCTGTAGACTGAGCAGGCCCAACCGAGGTGGACTGATGTTTCGGGGTCCCTCCGTCGGAGTCAGGAAGCAGGGTTGCAGCATTGCTTGCCATGATGTGTGAACCCAGACTCAGTTTGAGGTACAAGGAACCACGTCAGATCGGTCTCAGGTGTCTTAACAGAAAGAAGGAAAGATCTTGGGCATCTGTGTGGAGAAAAGAATACTGGCAATATAACACGAAAATGATGAATGGGACGGAACAGGATTGTCTTTTCCAATCACCCCATGGCTGCAATCTAAAGCATGTCCCACCCACCAAACACAGGGAGGCTTTCCTCCAAGAAAGCATGCATAATATTACCCTGTAAGTTCGCTAGGCCACTTCTTTTCATTGGTTTCTTCCTTTCCCTCCCCTCTGTACAGATTTTGTTTGAGTCTCAGTGACCTTGAGGTCAGAAATCAAGAGTCGTTCAAGACTGAAAGGTCCCCTCGGGGTTTGTTTTCTGCCTGTTGCAGATTTTGGCCTCTGATTTATGCGTTCCATTTACATTCCCTTCCATTATCCCCGCAAGCTGCCAGGGCGGCATTCTCCAGCCACGTCTGAACCGTCCCAGAAGCAGAAATGGATCACCAGAAGGAAAGGAGGGAGGACAATCGATTGCATGAAAGTTCCCCATGCTGATCAATATGCATAGCTGCAAACGTAGAAATGATTGTTAGCATGTAGGCAACTCGCCATCATGTGACTGTGACCATGTGGGTCAGTCTGTTTCCGGGCACCGTGCCGATGGGCAGCTTAAAGGTCAGCCTCCCTCTGGAGAGTCCTGCATCGTTACACCAGCTTGGACTGGGCAGTCCTTCAAGGTGCCTGCTACAGAAATGTTCTGCCTTTATTTGTTTGTTTGTTTGTTTGTTTGTTTGTTTGTTTGTTTATTTATTTATTTATTTATTTATTTATTTATTTATTTATTTATTTATTTAGAATGTTTGTATGCCGTCCCATCACATGAGCCTCGGGATGGATGGCTTACATACAATAAATAAACATAATACAAATAGTGCACATAAAATCCGGATTCACCCAGGCTGCAAAGTAAAGACCTATAGATGATGTTAAAAATTGTTAAAATATTGTTTCAATAAAAAGGCCTTGGCCTGGTGCCGAGAAACAAATAACGACGGCGCCAGGCGGACCTCTCTGGGGAGCGCATTCCATAGGCGGGGCGCCACCGCAGAGAAGGCCCCCCTCCGGGTACTTTGCCTCCTGATGTCTTTCACGGAGGGTTCCCGGAGGAGGGCCTCTGCTGCCGATCTCAGGGGGCGGGAGGGCAAATATGGAAGAAATCCTGTCTCCATTGAAGGAAACTGTCTCCTATGGATGCTCCTCCTTCTAAAAAGAGGTGCACGGAGAGGGGGGAGGTGGGCATTCGATGTTTTGGGTGGTGGGGAGAAACCTGCAGGCCAGAAGGTTCAAGGTGGGGAGGCAGCTGGAGCGGTGGGCCAAAAGCCAGGGGGCTCTGATGCAACGCAGATCAGCAGGAGCCCTGCTGCCTTATTTCAGCAAGTATCCCGGGGAACCTGCTGTATCCCATTCAGATCGGAACATGGCAAGATCATAAATCCTGCGTCTTTGTCAGAAGTATGGCACACTCTTTGACCAGGCCAGACGTGTTTCGACTTCTACCAAACTGGTTCTGGCATCCAGCACCTGGAAGAAGGTGCGACTCCCTTGCACATTCCCGTTCTGTTTTGAGACAAAAGCACACCCGGTTTCTTCAGGAACGATCCTGTGCACATTCAGACAGAAAAAAGACTACAAGAATTGTAGGCCATTTCTTCTCTTTGAGAGGAACACTTAATGAATCAAGGCGCATTTTTAGCAGGAGGGGAAGGACCAGTTAGCCTTCTTGGCATCTTGGCACATTCAACCTCTCCCTTCTCTCACCTTGGGAAGAAAGCTACCTGCTCTCTAAGGAAGCCCAGAGCTCCGTGGGCCTCACACTGTCTCCGGGCACCTGTTGGCACCCCCAGGCTTGCTGGAGCCCAGGCAGCAGCGCAGGAGAAGCAGCTGGCCGCAAGCCAATGTTCCGGGCTCGTCAGCACGCAGCCTCGTCTCCACAAGTGCATAACCTCTCGGTGATCCAGTCACGCAGCGCTTACAGCACGCTTGAAAACACGGCAGGGAGGAGGCGCCCCTGGGTGAGCACGACGGGGCGGCTGGCGCTGGGTTCAGGGTTGCCAACTGACGGGGGGAACAGCATGGCCTGCTCTTGTGCTTTTAGAGTGATTCTCTGCTCACATCACGGACCAAACTGCTGTTGGAGGACGTCACAAACACTGACAGCCCTAAATGCAGTCCACGGCAAAGCAAGGAAAGTCCCCGGCCCTAGGGAAACCTCGCTGCACATCCCCTGGATGCCCATCACGGCACCCTAGTCTCGACCCACTTGTCTGGGCTGGTCAACTCTTGACACAAGGTGCTCCCTCTTTTATTTTGGATTGCTGGTGTAGCTGGGGGCTTGCCGCTGCACCCTGATAATTGATATTCTCACAGGAGGAAGTTCCCTGGGATGCACACACCCCTCTTGCAAGCTCAGGACAGCATCCAGTGTGACCCAGTCCCTGCACAGCAGAAGGAAACAACACACAGAATCCCACAGCCACCATGGCCACCGCCTGGAACTCGTCCTGCTAAGTCAAAAGAGACTTCATTCGTGCCTTCTACCCCCAGCATCTCTTAGAGGACTTAACTGAGAGAGGACTTAGCAAGCTATGCCTGTTCTGCACTGCAGGCAGAAATCCAAGTGGTGCAGCTTTTGCTGGCCATGATGATCCGGCTTGACTTGCCCAGACAGCCCGGGTGCCTCTGGCACATCCCACTCGCTCCTGTGCCCAAAGCAGGGCAGCGGCCCCACCTATTCCTGCCTGCCTGTCTGTCATCCAGCAATCCAACCCATCAGGTAGATCAGGCTTGGGAATGTGCATGCGAAGCCCAAGGCAGGCAGGAGACGAAGCCGCAGAGCCACCGGTGACTGGGGCCTCCAGGAGGGCCCCTGCAGAGCTCCTCTCCTGCTGAAGGTAAGGGAGGACTGGGCTCCCCTTTCTGGGTGGGGGGCTGAGGGCAGAATGGGGCGTAGGCGCCACAGTGGGGCAGGTGAGGGCTGGAAACTGGTATTTTACTTTCTGCCTGATCCTATGCATTCCACAACTGAGCAATGTCTAGCTTCTACCAAGCCTGAATATCCTTGGCTGGGAATCTGCCACTCCATCCCAGAACACCAGTAGCACCCCTTTCCCATGACCTCCCCTGCTGTAGGGAATTGGACCCTCCACATTTGTGTGTGGGGGGGGGCTGGCTGGAAGGATGATAGACAGGTGCCTGGACTCCAGGAATCTTTCCTTTGCTCTGGGGATAGGGTCAGGGAGAGGACCCCAGGGACTAGGAACTTAGAGAAGAGAGAGGGGAAGGTCTTCCAGATCCATCTCCAGGCGGTGTGGTTCCTTGCAGCAGGTCTGCCCCTGCCAGGGCACCGAGCCAGCACAGCCGGGCCTCTCGGTTTCGGCAGTCAGGCACTTAATATTCCAGCACATTCCTAGCAGGCCAGGCAGTCAGGTTTCCGTGGCTTGACTCTGCCCATGGGTGATGGTGTTCTCGCCTCCCCCTTCGCACACCCCGCAGCGTCACGGCTCTGCTCCCCAAGACGGTGGCCAGACACCCAGGAGGAAGTAGTTCGGGACTCTGGCACTGCTCCAGGACTGCGATCGGCTCCGGGATCACCACACGTTCTCCCAGTGGGATGGCACAAGGATGGAGAGCTGGAGTCCGGCTGGCCACACCGCGACGGTTTTAGCCAGAAGGACGTGGTTGCTTTTGGAGGAGAATCATTTTCCAGCAAAGGTGTTCTTGGATCTGTTTCTCACGAGCACCATGCTGCAGCCGAGGAAGCAGGGTCTCTTTTGTAAGGGTTTACTCCTAGCAGGTGAGTTCCAGATTGGGTCATGGGGAGGCCATCCTTTACCCTGGCAAACTCACGCACTTACTTACGCATGATGGTGCTATGAGTTAAGCGAGTCCAAAATGCAAAACTGAGCATTTGGAATACCCACTTCCAAAACCAGGCTCGCAAACAGTTTTGTGGGGGTGGTTCTACATTTCGAGAATACAGAAGCACTTTGAAAGCTTCTGGTCGTTTTTAATGGTCGTTCCGGGTTGATGGAGGGGAAGTGAGCTGTGAGCTTTGCCACAGAAGTGAATCACGAGCATTTCCTCGATGTGCCCAAGAATGTTATGTCTGGGGTCCAAAATTACTTAGCTACATTGCTGTATGGAAAAGGAGCGCCTACTAATTGTTGCGGATCAAACCAGGCTTAGAAGGAGAGCAGAACTAGTTCCAATGTAGACAACTGTCTTTTCTATTCTGCCATGAAGACAGTAAGATGCGATTAAAGCTTGGTTGGTTTGCATGTGTTAAACTGCTGTTAGAGGCACAGGTGCAGTTAAAAAAAAGTTGGCACCTGTACTCCATCCATAAACAGCCTGAAAGAGATGAGATGAGCAGGCATGAGAATCGAATTGAATGGAGAGAGATGAGAGGCAGAGGGCAGAGTTTCCATATGAGCAGAGAAGAATCCACCCGGGTTTAACACTTGTTTGATCTGTGTGCGTCAGAAAGTCAGACGCTTCACAGCATGGCGCTCCAGCTGAAGTCCACCATTGGGACTGCTTTTAAGGACTCAGCAGCAGGTTAAAAAGTTGGCAACCCTTAGAAAAGGAGCGGGGTGCTGTTTGGGCATGCCCTGGGTTCCCTGGCTGAAAGCCCCGAACAAATAAACGGGCCTGAAGCTGAGTCCAGGGCGCAATCCCAAGCGCGTCTCGGCAGAAAAGAGTCCTGACGCTTCCAGCATCCCTGGCCGCGGGGATGCTGGCACCGGCAGGACCTTTCCCCGCCCCCGAAGCACGCCCGGAGCTGAGCTTCGCACGCCGGGCTCCACAAGGCGCGCGGCCCCGCGGCCCCGCAGGGCCCCGCCGGCCCCGGGCGGCGTGCGTGGCGCACCGGGCGAGCGCCCCGCGGAGGGGCCGGCGGCGCCCAACCTGCCTCTCTCTCCGCCCGCCGGCAGCGGCCCTGCTCTGCTCCCGCGCCCCGCCGAGCCGCGCGCTCGCCCGCGACGTCGCCGTGGCGGCCATCCCCGCGCTCCCAGCCGAGGGCCAGAACGTGACGCTCTCGGTGCTGAACGCCACGGGCGCCATCCGCGAGGTGAGCTGGTTCCGCGGCCGCGCCACGGACGGCGGCGCGCGCATCTTCAGCTACTTCCCCGGGAACAGCCGCCCGCAGCGCAACGGCGCGCAGCACACGCAGCGGGAGCTGGGCTTCCCCAACGGCTCCATGCTCATCGGCGCGCTGCGGCCCAGCGACCAGCAGCCCTACACGGTGGTCATCCTGGTGCGGCCCAAGGCGACCTTCAAGGGCACCGTCGACCTGCAGCTGGCCAGTGAGTGTCTCCGCCCCGTCCCCCCTTCCCCGCCCCCGCCCCCGCCCCCGTCCCGGCGGCTTGGCTTCGCCCATCCCGGCAGGACGCCTCCCAGCCTCCCCAGCCAGCGCTGCCCTCCCGAGTGGGGCAAGGCTGGGCGGATTCTGCCGTCGCCGGTTTGATCGGCTCAGGTGTGCCAGCGCCCTGCATGAACCAGGCAGCGCGTCTTTTAAAAGCAATTAGTTTAAATGGGAGACGCGCTTACCCCCAACAGCTGTTGTGTTTGCTAAGTTACTTGATTTGTTGTCGTTTGTGTTTGTGTTGCTCTTGTTTATGATTAATTTTATTTTTTTGCTTTGCTTGGATGGCTCGGGTGCCGAACTGAGAACCATTTCATGTTATTGAAATGTATTATGATTATTTTGCCATTTTATTATTTTATAAAAATGGTATAAAATTATTGTAGCACGATTATTTTGCTACTTTATTGCTTTATTGGATTTTTACTCTTGCAAACTGTTCTGAGAGCCAAATTGGCTGTGGAGGACAGTATATAAAAGCTTGCATAAAATAAATAAATAAAAGGGGGTACCGGTGGCAATGTATACCGAGAAAGACCCCACACTTCAAAATAATCGTTTTAGTTGTATGCAAATATATGCAAGCTTTGTGAACCAATTCGACAACAAATGGGTTAAAAGGCACATTTGCAAACTTATAAATATGGGGGTGCAATCTTACATGTGGTTCAGTTGAAAAATGGCCGACAGCTCCCAGCATTCCCCATGCATTTTTCTGCCTAAACATGCATTGGCTTGCGCCCCAGAACGGGCTGGCCGGCCGGAGATACTTTTGCTGCTTAGACAGAGCAGCAAATAATACCTCCAAACGCCCACCAGTTCCACCCCCCGAAGCCGTTGTCTGTGGCAGCCGCTCCCCCCCGCCCACCTAATGGGAGGGCCAGCCCCTGAGATGCTCTGTGGGGATTCCCTGATGCCCTCTCCGAAACAGAGCCGGAAGCTCCCGGCCGGTCGTCCAGCGGCCGCTGGAGCACTTCGGCGCCTGCTAGCTTGCCGTGCTTCTGGAAAGCTAGCTGCCCTAGTGGAGGAGCCCTCTCCTTCCTGAGCCTGGAGCATGCCCACCTCACAGGGTCGCTGGGAAGAGGGAAGGGCATTGGAATGACACTGTCTCCACTGCCCCTGAGCCACAGCAGAAACGGCCACGTCTCAAGGACGTGGTACTCGGAGCCAGTGTGCCGCTTTTGGATGCTTCAGTGCCCATCTTTTCTCCTGAGCAGGCTCACAGACCACCAGCCCTCCGCCGACAACCGCCAGCACGGAGACTCCAGGCTTCAAGGAGCCGGCAAAAGTCCCATCAAGGATGGGTTGGATCGTGGCTGCAGTGGTGGTGGGCATCCTTCTAGCTGGCGCCCTGGGGGCCACCCTGGTCTACCGGTTTGTCTTGCACAAAGCAGAGCCTGGCACAGGGTAATGGAGGATGGGGGGAGGGGTTTTTTTGGGGGGGGACCACGGACAGCCCTCCTCATGGGAACCAGCATTCTTGAGCCCTTATCTTTGCTAAAGGCTTACTGGCTTAAAGGGTATTGTCCTCCTGTGGATTCTGGGAAATGAAGTTCTGTGAGATTAAGCAACTCTAAGAAATAGCTAACATGTCCCCTTACCATGGAACTACATTTCCTAGAATTGTTTGGGAGAACCCCTGTGGGGGGTTTAATTAATCTATCTTTGTAAGGAAGGAGGTTCCTTGGTTTCACAAAAAGGGTAAATCTGATGTGTGAAAGTTTAAATTTGCATCGTGATCCAGGCATTTTGGCATTTGCCTGATGAATAGCTATTTGTGAGAGCAGAAAGGGTTGAGTTTCAGCCCCTGCTGCTAACGTTTGCCTTCCTGCATGTGTTTTACAAAGGGTCAATGCCGTATCTCTACATCTCAAGAGCAAGAATCACTGCAAATGTTGGAGGAGGAAAATATTCAGGCACTGCAGGTTTTCTGTTAATATGCCAAGTTATATTTCAAGTTCTGCTGGAGAAATGAATGCCGGCAGGTGCAGAAACACGCGAAGAATGAGGGGGTAGTTCCTGACCTATTCTATTTTCTTTGCAGGATGGTAGAAAAACTGGATCCAAGGATGAAAATGCCGGCAGTGTCCAAACATGGTGAGTGCTCAGCCCCTGCTCTAGAACGCATGAAACCCAGAGTTTCCCCTGCCCACCCTTGACCCAAGCAATTCAAGAAGCCATGGTGTGGTGAGGGCCAGGGCTCGCAGGGTTGCAAGAGCAGAATTTATTTTTGCTAGCCAGGGGCCGGTGGCTGCAGCCGAAGGCCAAAGGGGCAGTTCCCCAAATGCGGCATATTTCAGCATTCGAGCCGTGAGAGTTCCTCTTACTGCCAGGAATGAAACTTTCGGAGAGGCATTTCAACCTTCTAATTGTGACAAATTCCAACTGTGCAAAAGCTGGGAAACAAGCGAATGGCAGGCTGTTTTGGGGAAAATGGGGTGTAGCCATCTGGAGAATCCCAGTGGGCTGGCGTTGGACCCCAGGAAGCTGGAACTGGCTCACAGGCTGGTAAATAAAGTTACACGATCACTTCCCAAAATGGCGAGACATTCCAACAGTGCAGCCATTACTCAGGTGTGGTTCTCATGCGAGGAGGTCACCAGAGTCTCCTTGGCATTTTGTAATGTTTATTTACAAATTTGTGGGTGGCGCATAGGTGGAGCCCAAGCATTCTGTTCCCCTGCTCCCTCTCCAAACCCCTGGAGAGACACCCAGCATCTCCCAAAGACCGTTAGCGCAAACTCTAAAGAACGGGTCTCCATTCCGTGTCTTCCGCTGGAACGCAATCCACTTTATGCTCAGGCACCTGGAGGTGAGCTGCCTCCAGGTGGAAGGCCAGCCTCCTTCTTCCCATTCATATAATTCTGCAAATGGTCCTTTGCTAAAAAGCAATTGGCTGTTTCGTTCCCATGGCAGCATGTTGCCCATAGATTGCCTAAGGAGGGTGTCCCAAGGAGGACCTGCTCAGCAGGTTTGCCAGGCTCCTGAGCTGACAGCAATGGCAACACACACACACACACACGCACACATGCACGCACCCCAGACGCTACTGGGGAAATGCCCCTGTTTTAATCTACCCTCTGCTTTCCAGGTGACAAGGAACCCATTTATGAAGTGATGGATTCTCCAGCGGAATTACCCAAGGTGGAAGGGAAGGAACCGCTTCCCATGTCTGGACCGCTACCTGTGAGTACACAGCACTGAAGGTCAACCATTTCTGACTCAACCTCCCCTTGATTTGTCCCTGAAAATGAGGCATTTGTGGATGAGGGAAGGAGAGGATTAGGAGGCAGGAAGCGCAGGCACGACCCAGATTCCTCAGCTGACGGACGCTGTTTTGCACCTCTCTTGGCAAATGACCTGCACTCTGCAAATTTGGTTAGAATTTGGAGGGTCGTGGGCATGGTAGGTGACTGATAATTCACCCTGCATGAGCCGTCATGTCGTACTTGTCTTCACCTACCTGGATCTCGAGGTTCTAGTAGGATCAGCAGAGTAGATCACCAAAGGTGAAAGTCTGCAACTTTCTCCCTTGTGGTTAGACTTGGCAAAAGTTTAGGGCTGGCTTGGGAAACAAGGGCATGTAGAAAAAGGATCCCTTCCCTTTCCCCTGCTGAAATCTCCCTTCAGAGGGGAAAAGCTCTGCAAAACAGAAGAATCTAAACGAAGCCCTGCCTCCCGTGTTTATCTGCCCCCTTTCATCACTCATATGACGCATCTGTGACTCTTTGCAGCCTCTACCAAGGTCCTGCTCCAGACTGGACTCAAACTACATGGTAAGTCCTTACTCTGGGGGGTGGCAGGGGGGGCGGCAGTCCCAGTAAGCCATTGCCTTTTGTTTCTGATCTATTAACTGCCACTTGCCAAGCTGCAAGTGATTAAAAATCAGAATCGCAAATAAGAATCGCAACCCTTATGCAGCAGAAGTGACATCGCCCTCACACAATTGGGACGTATCAAGCACACTTCGAGGAACTCCGACCTTTGAAGAAGTACAAAAAAGGCTTTAGCAGGGGCAAGATGCTTGTGGGGCACCTGTCCATCCCAGTGGGAGTTCTCGGTGGACTGGCCGGTTGGCAGGACCCTGGGTAGGCGTACTTTCTGTGTGCCCCATTCATGATGAAGAGGAAATGGAAAGATGCTGCATCACACGGTCAAAACTCTGCTGCATGTAAAAGGGGTTGGCATCCGAGGCAAGCACAGTGCTTTCTCTCCTGAGAAGACCCTACTCTGCCCATCTTCCAGATTTCCACCTTCAAACTGGGAGACTCTCAGGTCAGCTCTACCCCCTAATGGATCTTCCTGGGCAGACAGAGGAAGCTGTGCAGAGCTGCCATCTTTCCTTCATGCTTACAGAGCCCCGCCCATCTCTCTCTGTACCCATCTTCTTGTAACAGGGCTCCTTTTCAATCTTCATCATCATTATTTTGTCTTAGGAGCTGCTGCGCAGAGCAGAATCTATTTACTCCGAGATCAAGAGGTGATTCTCTGGTCTGAAGGATGCAGCTTGTCAGCCCAACAGGGAAACGACCTGTCCCAGGATCTTGGGATGCGAGTAATATCCACCTCCTATATTTCTGACTGCCGTGTCCTCTGCAGAGGGTGCCCTCCGCCAGGCTGCAATATAGCAAAGCATTTCGATCCACCACCAAGTTCAAAGGCATTTTGTCCTGATGGAACAGAGGAACAGAAAGGAACTTGCTCTGGACTGTGCAGATCAGCCCCCTCTCCTCCGAAAAGTGAACCGCCATGATTCGCGAAAGGAGATAGTTCCGTATTCAAAGATCCAGGGAGGGAGGGAGGGATCCCTTGAAAATGATTCCTAGATCTTGGGGTTTTCAGATAATCTACAGAATGCAGATGAAGACGGTGTCCCTGAGAGTAAATATTTAGCCACAGTTTAATGTTGTGTTCAGGCACTTTTTTTGGGGGGGGGGGAGCACTATTCTAAGGAGTTATGGGGGGCTCAGAGGGTCCGAAAGTCATGCCACTTTCTCCACTGTGGTTTCACCACAGTTGAGCCTTTGGAGGCCCTGGTGGTACGATCCCCGAACAGCTGGCAGGTCTTGTCTTGTCTTGTCTTGTCTTGTCTTGTCTTGTCTTGTCTTGTCTTGTCGAGTATTTTTAGGCCGTCCATCACTTCTGTCTCTGGACAGCTTACAGGTTGAGCTGCTCTGAATGGAACCTTTCAACCACAGCAGGGTTTAGGGTTAAACTGCCACACTGCAAGATCCCCCCCCCCCCGCCCCCTGTTAATTTTTATCCCCACTTGAACCTTTCCCCCCATTCAACTTGCTTACTGATTCACAGCAGCCCTTGCTTCCTGTGTTTGGTCACTGCTTAGCTAATGATCAAGTGACTCCCGGTAATTAAGGAACTTCCAGAAAGTCTTGGGCAAAGAGTCTCCACCCAGCTGCTCTTCCACTGAAAGGATGGGAAGTCATCCAAAGCCAAATGCACCATCAGCTGGCCTGCTCTGCAGTTCCAGTCCTCAGAGGTTTGGAATGTGGGGTGGCCACATTTTAATGCTGCTCTTGATCTCTGGCCTTTAAGAGCAGGCTGACAACTCACTGGAATGATGTCGATGAAAATCTTCCTTGCGCACGGAGATGGGAGCGGCAGCAGCGTGGGAAGTTGCTTTGCTTCTCATCGGCTAAACCTTTGAGGCAGGAGGTTCTTAAAGGTGCAGTAGCGGGGGGGGGGGGGGTTAAAAAGACAGCTGGGAGGCCAAAGTATATCAAGAAAAGGAGCTACGCTTCACCATTCTGGCCCTGAATGGACTTTGTAAATGGAAAAGAGCTGGGTGTTTTCCACATAAGGCCGGCCCAGGGAAGAAGAGGGACAGCAGGACTGAATGTCCTGACAAACCTGAATGGATCACCTTCTCTAATATGGCTGTATTCTCTGTCAATAAATGACTTGTTTTCCAAAACACTGGAGCAACAGTAAGTTCAGTCTTTCCCGTCACCCTCACTTTCTCATGAACTGTTTCCCCATCGATTTGAATGACTTCTTGCCTTTCCAGAGTGGTACCAATTTTAGGAGCACCAAAATTGCATAGGAAGCCGGCAACAAAATTGACTAATTTTGTATGCTGCCCAGTAAGAAGGTCCTCGGGGTGGTAGCAATGAGCCTATAAAAAATGCAGCAGGAAAGGAATCCATATGTGAGTCAGCTGATATCAGTAAAAGTGGATCTAGAAGACAGGAAGCTGTCCTGTCTCCAGTTCCGAAGGAAGATCCCACTGCCCATTGTCAGAATCCCGGAATCTCAATTTGAGAAGAGGGAATACCAAGCGTCCAGACCATCTGAGGCTTTACAGTATTTACCCCAAGGTTCCCGCGGTATACTCACGATAATGCATGCATTACCAGGCAGGCAGAGGTGAACTCTGCTGCAAAGCTTCAGTACCATGACGGGGCATTTATAGGTACACAGGTACAGGGCAATTGATGACAGAATGCAGAGCTTACAATGAGATTCTGAGCTCATCACATACAGAACAGATAAAAGTCAGTCAATCACACAGTAACAAGGAGATTAGTATTGACACTTTATTTGAGCAACTTGAACCCATCTCCAGGTCTGCTCAGACATGCAAATTCAAGCCACTAGAAACTACTCATGATAAGCTCAGACCCCTATCTCGACTCTGACTCTAAACATTCTGCATGATCAGGGCACATGAAGCCCTCTGGGCTATCAAAAGATTGCTGTAAACTGAATTCCAACAAAGACTATTTATAATGTATATTTGGGCTAAAATGGCCTCTCTCCTGTAGCCTACAGCTAAACGTGAGAGAAAGGAGAATGCCATTTTAAACAGTGACAGCTTGGTTTTGAGAAGGAATACAGGATTTGATCCCACAATGCAAAGGCACACAGGAGTAATGCTTTTCAGACAGGATTCACCCAAATTTTCCCAACACCACCCAGTTGGTTGGTTTTCTGAAGGAAGATCCCACAGGCGTGGGCACATTTTGCCCTTTGCTTCACAAAATGCCTTGGGCCAGCCCTGCTAGAAATCTCAGGAAAATAACAGGGCATCTACCTGGCCCCAGAAGCAGTATAATAAGGACAGCACCAAGGGAACCTCTTGTGGGAGGCCATTCTGGCCCTTTCCCCCTTGGCCACGTGCTGCACCAGACCTGGTAGGGGCACAGGGGAGAGATGTCTAAGACGATCTCCATGCCTGAGGCGCAGAACGAGAAGAAGAAAGAGAAAGGGTCCTTCAGGTAGCTGGTTCCAGGCAGTTAAAGGCATCGCCTGCTGACGCTCCAGGCAGGGGAAGCTGATGGACACGGAAGCTGGTGCAGATACGGAGCAGAAGGAACTCCGCATTGCTCCACCAGGTTTCCTCTTTTCGAGACACAAGCTGTCACTGTCTCTGGGTTGAAAACCGGCTCCCTTGCGGCTTTCCTTCTTTCTTCTCCATTTCGGCTTATGGCTTTGTGTGCGTCGGCCTGGCCTTCAACAGCACACTCGAGGCTGGGGCCCAAGTAATCCAGCTGCAGATGAAGCCTCTTCCCCACCTTTCATGCAACCCAGAACGAAAGGCGCAGGGAAAACGCCTCCCCCTCTCCCCCTGCTCTCACGCAGGCTCCAGCAGTGTTTCCAGGAGCACTGCGAAGGCTTCCTGTGGCAACTTGTGGTTGCTTGCTTCCTAACTGGCAGGTATTGAGAAACCAATTCCAATTGGTTAGCCAATTCCACCTCACCCCACAGTTGCCACGTTTCCCCCTTTCAAGCAAACAGCTTCAGCGCCCTAGAGCTGCAATCAGAAATAGGAGATTCGGAAGCAGTTGGAAAGTAGGGAAATGCAGCTTCTCGCAAGGGGCACCAGGCCGCATCTAAGAGCCCACTGCGTGCGTTGAAACCCACGACTGTGTCGGACACCAGAAATGAGGCTTCACCTGCCTGATTGGTCCTACGCCAGTTCTGCCCACGGCTCCCTGTTACTACAGTTAGAGCTTTCCTGCTGGTCCTCTTCATAACCTCTAGGTGGCACTGTGGGATAGCTGAAAACTGCCAATACACACTAGGAAATAGCTTTCTTTCTCTTTCAGAAACAATCTCTCTTTGCCGCTAACAGGAATGAAACTGGAGGGTCACCACATTTTAAAAAGAACCTGTTGGCAGCTATAAATGGAGAACGGTGAGTGCACAAAAAATGCCTCATTTAGAAGAGTTCTCAGTCGCACTTGGAGCGGGCCAGTGGGTCTTGATGGGTTGAAGCTCTAGGACTTTCTGATTGGCAGGGATGATTTTATTCAGATGTTTATTGTATTTCTATACCATTAAATAGTCAACGTTTTCTGGGAGATTCCCAACAATGCCATTTTCTGCCATCCCTATCAGACTTCCTTCTTCCTTCCCAGGTTAGCTGTAATCACCATAACAGCTGGGAGATTAGACAAGGGGTAGGGATGGCTTTTCCTAGCAACTGTGCTTACCTGTGAGCTATTTCTAGCCTAATGCAGGGCATTCTGGGATAATTTGGTCCTGAATGTCAAGACCCAGAAGACCACCCACCCACCTGCACACACACAGAGGCAGGTCAACCCTGCTAGATGTGGTTTTGGACACTCCTGAGGGATGTGGCTATCGGACCAGTGTGATGAATATCGTAGAACCGATCCCTAGAGATGATTTATTGGAATCAATGGGACTCAAGTTGGCTATGAGAGATGCAAAAGGACCAAGAGCAAACCATGCACGTTTCGTACAGGAACAGCCAATGACAAATCTGAAACAAGGTCAGGTAGGTAAAGAGTGTAATTAATGAAGCAAAGCATGCTTTTTTTTTTTTCCCAAAAGGCTTAGATATCAAGACTTTTGTTTAAAATTGGACAACATATATCGATTATTGGAAAATACGTCACACACGTCAAACAGTATCTGCTCTATGCTCCTGATTGTTGTAGGTTGCACATTCTACCATGGCAGACTGTTTATTCTATGAACAAGAATGAAATAAACTTGACAGCCACTCCTTCGGGGTGTTTCTTGACAAGCTGCTTGGTGCTGCATCTGCAGAACAGGCGGGATGGCTGCTTCAGTGAGCATCTCCTCTCCAGAACAAGCTGCAGAAAGATTTGGTGATTAGAATGCAATATTATTACGGGTATTATTTAGCAGGATTCCTCAGCTGTTTGATGCTTTATGACATAAACACCAAAAGGGAGGGAGAAGTCCATCCCAGCGGCTGACAGATTGGATGGTGGGGAGAGGAGAGGAAAGAAAGGACCAAAAGGCAAGATTAACAGGAATGAATTGATTTTGATTTCATTGAAGTGAGAACTAACGATTGGATCTAGTAGCTGTAATTAATAGTAGCAGGCACAGTTAGAGTAGCCAAGTCTTTCCTTCCCTCTCTTTTTACCAGTCCCCCTCCATTTTTGTGCCTATAAAAGCAGCTTAATATATAGTTAGTGTTAGCATGTTGTAAAAGAGATTCCTGCTTTTTCTTGCTGGTCAAGGTTGTGGGGGGTGCGTGTGTGTTTGCCAAATACCTGACAGTGAAATATGCAGTAAATGTCTTCTATGAATCAACATTCCCTTCCAGTTTCCCAATTTTGGAAAGCCCCATTCCAGACTGGAAATGAGAGCTCCCCCTGGAGGCCATTTGGGGCTCTGCAGCTTGTTCCAAGGCATCCGTGCTGTTGTTCAGCCTCTTCCAAAACGACCCGGGTGGTTCGTTTCAGCAAAGGGAGAGGCCCTGCCTCAAGCCACCTTGGAAGCCAGACCCAAAGCCTGCCTCCTCCGAGCTCCAGACGTACAGGAAGCTCTTTGGTGGTTCTTTAGGGATAAGAGCCGGGCATTCTGTGCACAGACAATCAGCATTTAGGGGAAGAAGCACAGTCCAGGCATTGCATTCAGAAGGTCCCAGGATCTCGCTCAACACTGGAAAAGTGAAGGACTACCCACCAATGAACTGATTCTAAAAAAGATTCTGGACTGTGCAGACATGGATAGATTGACTTTATCATTGAAGGAGAACGAAGATACTGACTTCTATTGAACTTGGGATTTTTTAAAATTATTATTGGCTAGAGAAATGGGACTTTGCATAGATTTAAATATGTTTTTAAAGTTATCATAAATGGAAAAAGAAGGGTGTGGGAGCTGACCCAGCGGGCTCGATGTTTTTTGATGATGGGTGTTGTTTGTAGTTTTTTGTTTTGTTTTGTTTAGGATTATAATTTCAAATAAAACTTATTTTTTTAAAAAAAGAAGGTCCCAGGATCATAGGATCAAGTGGCTAGTCCTGAAGAAGACACTTCTCCACCCAAGGGGCCACAGGAGAGATGCTGCCCATCTGAGCAGATCTGTTTTCCCCGCCTGCCTCCCACACGGCTGTTTTTGCACCGCTCTGCTCTGCTGGCACTAGCAAAACCCGTGTCAGTTGCGCACATGTGCCAGCTGCGTTTGCGGTGGTGGGAGCGAACCCCTGGAGCTCTGGGGCAGAGATGTGCGGAGGTCGCCCCCCTCTGGCATGAAACGATCTCATCCACAGAGTAAGTCACTCTCTGTCATGCTCACCCACTTTTCAAAGGCGAAGCGTTCAGCATTCATGGCAGTTGCCTGGACCTCAGGCAGGTGAAAGGGCCTGTTAAAGGAAGGGAAACAGTTCAGGGACCGGATGCCTGCTCTGTTCTTTCTTCTTCAAGCAACTCTGGAGGGCCACGGAGTGGTGCTGTGAAAACATCCCGCAGACTTCCCTGATGGAGGGAGGGTCACCGGTGCGTGAGAAATGCTTCACGTAGCGTAGCCCTGGTGGCCCTCCAGCTGCTGATGTATTGCAACCTCCATCAGTCCTGGCCAGCATAGTCAAAGGTCAGGGATGATGGGAGCTGCAGTGCAGCAATATCAGGAGGGCTGCACGTTGCCCACCCCTGTGGGTCTGCAATTGTACGGGAACTAGAGCTGGGCAAAGTGCTGCTTTCAAATTTCCAAGGAAGGTTGACTCGCCCTTTGCTGCTCATTCTAGTCTCAGGTAAAGCCAAGTCTCCTGAGCTGTAGCACTAGCCAGAGTTTTAAAAAATCCAGCTTGTGTTTGGCTGTCTCTGCCCCCTAGTGGTGAAGGGCCAAACTGCACGCAGTGATGACTAGCAACCAGCGGGGGGCCTCGATCTCTGATCTGGAGCTTTTGGTTCTCACCTTCTGTCCTTGACTTGTTGGGCGGTGGGTTTGGGGGACAAGCCATTCCCCACCTTGAGCTTCTTGGAGGAGAGGTGGAATAATAGACTTCGTTTTGAACAATTAAAAGGATAGCTTATCCCCTAAGTTGCGAAAAGAATCGATTCCTTGGGAATTCTCACTGTTCCACCCCTTCCATAATGTAACCACTAGTCCTTACTCCCATCCTCTGTGTCCTGGATCTCCTCCCCTGCAAAGTGATGGATGTTACTCACAGGAAAGCATGGAGAAGATGTTCATCAGGTGGTCAGTCCAGGCAAGACAACCCAGCAGGGCTGCAGTGAGGATTCCGGCACTGTAGCTTAAAGAGGCAGATCCAGATTTGTGTCCGTTGTTTTCTGGAAGAGGGAAAAGATCTGGAGTTGGTGCCTGCAGTCAGTCCAGCATTTTGCCGCTCTGAACGCTTGCTCCTTGCCAAGCCACATTTGCATTCTAGGTAGAACCCCTTGCCGTGCATGAGCCTTCGGGTGCATCGGCATCACTGGGAGTTGTAGCCCTCCTTTCCATTTAAACTTGCATAAGATTCTGCTTTGGGTTGATGAAGCTAGTGAGTTCATCTTAATCAATACTGAATTGATTAAAGATCAATTAAATAGGCTTGCATTTGCATATTATCTTCGATGAATGATTGAATCAGTATATTTACTTGCCTCTAAGGTAGGGTGTTAAACCTTGACAGCCACATGATAATAAAACAGTAAATTTACCCCAAACCAGGCATTAATACTAACCAGCTAAAAACACCCCATTGGGAGAAAGTACAGGATGGGAGACTGGAGGGGGAAAGACCACATCTGCTGATGCTTCTGTCCCTCAGGGGATACCTGCAGGTCCCACGAGAGTCAAATTGCATGGATCTGCATGCATTGTGAGGAAAAGCTGGAGGAAAGAGGTGCATTGTGGGGGTTCTTCTAAAGGGTTGTCGCAGGTACCCTTCCTGCTATGTATGACTTGGTTCCCACAGCCCGCAAACAGTGCCAGCTTCCAGCCATGCAGTGTAGGGAAGCGTCTTCCCTTAGGATTGAAACTGGTACAACCGATTTCAAATTCACAGACAGCTCTGAATTAATTAAAATAAATGCATGCGTTTCAAACATCAACAGATTGTGAAGTATGCACTGCCAGACTTGCCTTAGTGTACATGCCAAGTTTCGGGGGGGGGGGGGCTAGGTGCATAGTCTTGGTGCTAATTGGAAAGAAGAAATACTCTATCTTTCAGCATGACAGATTTTATTTTTATTATCTTGGAAGCTCTACTTTCAGTTGCTTTTAGCTCCACAAGAATGTTAAATCTTCTGTATTTGCAGCCTTCATTGTAGTTTGAATCACAAAGGTGGCTTTCCCCTCCCCACTGCTTTCTAAACTCTGTGTTGTGGGTTCGCTGGTTTTATGTTTTGTTCTGTGACTTGTAAGTTGTAACAGTGAATCAGAGGAGGCCAGTAGCTGAGATATATGTGTGCATTTAGAACAAAAATTAAATGCTTTTACTCATATGCAAATTAAACGGCTAGAACAAGGGAGCGATCTTAGGGCTTTTGCAACTTTTTCCTGATTAAACTGCCCCATGCTGCTCAACATTTATATGATTATCTACAGATACATACATGTCTTCCCTTACCTGGAGCCATTCAGGTGTGTTGAGCTACAGCTGTGCCCTTGATGGGAGTTGGAGTCCAATACAGCTAGAGGACTCCAGACTGGGAATAGCTTACCCAAGAGTAGACCCATTGGACTGAGCAGACCTGCATGGCATTGCACTATATATAGCATCCCTTTACTGGGCTGGCATTTCTGAGACTTCTCTGCATTCTCTGGGCTCAGAGGAAATCGATACTTACTGGTGGATTCTGAAACAACCTGCAAAGACACCTGGCCCCTGTACACCTCAGCGTTTAGTCTGTGCTCCAGGTTATCAGTCTCCGTTGGATTTTGCTCATCTTTCAAAGGAGCCTCAATTCGTACAGTGTAGCTGCTGGCATCTGACGTGGTGAGTTCTCGGAGGACCAAGGAGCAGTCCTCTTGCACGGACACTCGGCCTCGTTGCTGGTTCTGCTGAAACTTCTGCCCACGGGTGTAGCTCTGGAAGATTTTGTCAGTGTCTGGAGAGGTGCCTTTGTACCATTCGCACAAAAAGACTTGCTTCGGGCCTCTTTCTATGGTCAGGGTGACCTCCTGACCTTCCTTGGGAGACTGTGGTTTGGCGATGACTGGGACAAGACGCGGATCTGTGAACAGAGTGAACAAGGGTGTTCGAGGCTTTGCATCAACAGGCTGTGATCATTCAGCTTTGGAAACTGGCTGGCCACCCCTTTCTAGCCACACCTTACCCCCGTGAACTCAACAACAGTTTGCCCTGCAGCCATTTAGCCTGTGGATCTTTAGACCGTGTGCCTCAAAACTTTTCCCTGCTTCATCTTTGCAAACCAAGCTCCTGTTTAGCACAGATCCAGCTAAAATAGATACCTGTTTTGGAAAGCCAAGGACCAAACCGCCTACTCAATAGCAGCAGGTATCCAAGAGATCCAGGACTGTTGGAGTATTTATTTATTTATTTATTTAGGAGACTTCTGTGCCACCCCATCCGCCGAAGCCTCGGGGCGGCTCCCATCCATAAATAAACTTACATAAAATAATATAAATTAACAGTATAAATTAAGTATAATTGGAGAAGGTCCAAGGGAGTCTTGGCTTTGTTCCAATCTCTGTCTTGCCACGATATTTACTGGATGGTGTTAACACCAGCCTCAGCCTGACCTGCCTGATGGAGTTGCTGGAAGAATGAAGTTTGGAGTGAACCATGCATGCTGCAGGGAGCTAGTCCTCATGCATACCACAGGGAACGAGTCCCTTCCCTCATTTTCCGCAGCCTCCCAACCTCAAGACAATCCTTTATAAAGCAGATTTTTATTGAGCCTCTGTAGTTAACATGACTCTAAATAGTTTTCTACCAAGCTGAACAGAGAAGCCTCTGTTCATGTGAAGACTGCTGCACCCAGACTGGAAACTTCCCCTCAGCCCTTCTCATTCGTGAAGCTGGAAGGGTGGTTCTCGCTGGTGGAGAGACAGATAGCACGATCTATGGAGGTCTTCCCATTGGGCACCTCGTCTCACCCAGTGCCTCCTCCTGGATTGAGACCGGGGGCCCACACCTGCTCCCTTCCTCTCCCAAAAACCCTCCCATCTCTTGCAAAACAGGCCCTCTGTCGAGGTTGGCCTGGGAAATGCCAGGAAGTGATCTTGAAAGGGCTCCAGAGGTTTCTGTCTCCCTTGCTCCTCCACCTGAGAATCCAGTGTCTCCCAGATCATGCTGGGGAAAGTCAAGAGCAGAAGAAGGAAAGGGAGACCAGACAGGCGACAGACGGACTCCACCAAGGAAGCCACAGCCTTGGACTTAGAAAAGCTAAGCAGGGATGTCATGGACGGTACATTTTGAAGGCCTTTTTTTCATACGGTGGCCACGACCTGGAGGCGACTTGGTGGCACGTAACAGCACCTGTCCTGCAGAGAGAGAATGCCTGGCTCCCTGTTTGCATTTCCCAACCAAGGCGCTTTCAAGGAAGGAATATGTAAAACAATACTCAATAAATAAATGCAGGACAGTGGTAAAAACAGCTGATTAATGGTGTAAAGTGCCCTGTTTTCTTTGGGAAAGGTGGCCACTTTTGAAGAGACCTGTTCACACTTACCTGGGATGCTTAAGTTGTAAAATCTCATGTAAGTGTTTCCTTGGGCTTGGTCTGGGGTATGCTGCCTCTCTGGAGCTGTCTGGAATGTCACAGAATAGTTTCCTGAGTCTGAGAATCTCAGCTTTGCGATATTCAAGGAACAATTCTCATTCAGGGTCACCCGCTTGTCCTTGGAGTTAGCAAGTCTGTCCTGGGGCTTATTCCTGGAGTAGCTAAGACTCAAGCCTGGGCTTCCAGGCCGAGATGCTCGGTTCCAGGAACACTCCACAATCTGTCCAGTGACTTGGTCTTCCTGTAGGGATAGGGTCACATTCTGCCCCCATTTAGGATGCTGAGGTCTGGGGACCACGAAAAATCTTTGCTGTGCTGTTACCACCTGCAGAGCACAACTCACGAGGAAGCCTGTAAAAGGGAGGAGAGAAGGAAGATGTGAGCTTCTGTCCTGCCGCCCCTTCGCAAGCACCCCCACTGAGTCTAACTCTTTCCTAAAAGAACCTCCTTGCCTTCCACTGCTTCTGGCTGATCCTTGGATCGATATATTTCTGTTTCAAGAGCGTTCCCACAGCACGAGGTACAGTGCCCTGTTGAAGAGTGCAATCCTGTGCATGATTAGGCAGAAAGAAGTCCTAACGTGCTCAGCGTGAGCTGGAGGGATGGTGGAGAGGTTTTTTTTCTCTGTCTAAAGAAGAATAGGACTGCAGCCTTAGTCACATGCAGATTTAATAGACGAAGGACACAGTCCTGTTATTATTTACATATTTGATATTTATTTATTATATTTATATCCCTCTTCTTTTCCTTTCAAGGAACTCAAGGCAGCTTACATCGTTCTCCTGCTCCACCTTATCCCCACCACAACAACCCTGTGAGGTAGGTTGGGCTGAGAGTGTGTGACTGGCCCAGAGTCGCCCAGAGAGCTCCGTGGCTGAGCAGGGACTCGAAACCGGATGTCCTGAGCCCCGGTCCTGCGCGCTCAACCACCACGCCACACTAGCTCTCTGTTTCAAGGGCTGTAAGCCCGCAACCTTGGACGGTTATGATTACACAATCCAGGGCAGGGGAAAAGACTCCGGCTGCCTTGCCTGCTTGACTTCCCACCCAGCATTTTCTGCTAGTTCCCCCCCGCCCCATCTAGTTGCAGTAGGTAGAAGAAGGCAGAAGAAGAAAAGGAAGGCCAAATTCAGGTATTCTATAGATAGGCTGGACATGCACATGATGGGCATGTCGTGAGCGGAGCCGGCTGGTGCCGGAGGTCAGACTAGATGGCCTGGGAGACCCCTTCTGACTCGCTCTGTTTCTTTGTTTCTATGTTTCTAGGTGGATGGACTCCATCAGGGAAGCTGCAGGGTTGAATTAGGGAGGGCTGGGCAGGAATGCCATGGGTAGGACATTCTCTGCCTCTCCGGAAAGGCAGCTGCCGTGGGGCTTGGGAGGCACAGCTGGTTGGGGCCCCGATTCCCTGCTCAGCCTTGTGCCTGAGGACCTGAGGAAACCTGCAGGCCCCCTGATGCTGCCTGGGAGACAGGATTGCTCTCATTCGTTGATTCAACCTAGTTTGATGAACTAAGTTGTTAAAATTGGCGGATAGTTCCTATTCTTCATAGATACGATCTCTCCATAATGATGAGGATGATGGGGATGGGGACTCCCGTTGCTCCCTTCCAATGCTCAGAAGTTTCTGTTTCCTACTGACCTGCCAGAAGAACAGCCGTCTGTGTGGCCCGCTGGCTCCTCGGGGGACTCATGGCGCCTTCGTGCCGCACAGGTAGGCTACAGAATCGCTAGCCTTCGCCGAGGAGCACAGTGGGCAGGCAGATCCTCGTCGGTCACCCTGCTTAGCGAGACACAGTCCCTCTCTTTCGAAGTTTCTGCTTTTGTCCCGGAGAAGAAAGGAAGGAAACGCGTTGCACAAGAGTGAGCAATGCTGATGCTGTCTCTGGCCTTCCTCAGCTGACAGGTACTGCACCACCTTTGAAGAACTGAGGAACTGAATCCCAAGAGGCCGGTCAATGCGAGAGGACTGAACTGGGCCGGAAGGCAGGCTGACTTAGGCGTCTGCACCCCGCTTTAAGGCGCAATCCTACACTGGTGGGAAGACATGGGGTTTTTTGCTGTCAAAAGCAAGCGTAGCATCCGCCTTAGAGGCTGACTCAGCCCTGTGGCCCCGAGCATCCTCCCATGTCATGGCGGCTGTGGTCCTTCGTGGCCACAGTGGCCCACCTTGTGTCGTCTCCCCTCTAGGTCAGTATACTGTGGTGAAAGGGGGTGGTGGCTTTAAAAACAGCCTGGATCAAAGTGCGCAGAGGGACTGGCCTTTTAGGTAGCGCCTTTTGAAAAGGAAGACCCCACATGGCCCTATAAATACAGGACTTCATTCAGAGTAGCCAGAGGAAATCATAGGATTTTAACCACCATGTTCAGATGGAAAAACCTGCACAAGCCAAACCTATTTTTCATGGGAAACAGCTCCAAATGAAAATACGTACTAATGCAAGGGGGGCAGGAGAGAGGTCTTCATTTCGTTATTTATTCAAGCATTTACAGACCATCACGATAGCCACTTGGTTCTCTTATGAGACAAAGCACGGCTATTTCTAGGGATCATCTCCATGTTCACCAAGAAATGGGAATGCGATGAACAAAGGGCACCGATTTCAAACGGGGCATGTCTGCAGGACAGCAGCTACTTAGGATTATTCCCACGCCATGGGAAGATGTGGTACTGATACCAGCAGCCCAAAAATATGAGCAAGAGCCCCCAAACTGCTGCAGTGGGTTCCCCACAACATCCCAAGAATCATTAGAGGATACCTGCATCCGAGGAACAGCTGTTTCTTCTGGATGGCTCGAAAGGTTTATCTCCTGAATGGCCATAATGTTGCCAGAAGATCCAGAGGAAAGACCAAGAGCCATAAAACTGCTCAAAGGTAGCAGTGCTAGTATTCTGAAACACTCCAATAGCCACTATTTGATGCACACACTTTTTCTGCATTGCCAGAATATTCAGGTGCCATTTGAGTGCCTTCTCCCCTGGACAGGTTTAGAAGACGACTAATGGTCAACTAATGGATGGGATTCCTTTCAGCTGTTCTTAAGGTTGTTGGGTTCAACCTTGACCTCTTCCGTGTTGTCTAGGGCGGAGTGGTGCAGCTTCTCCGGCTTCTCCTCCTCTCTTTTCTTGTCTTTCTCCCCAACCTCGTCACATTTTTCAGGAGTGCGGGTGGTGGCAAAGAGGCTTGAGGACCAGATGGGAATGAGGACTGGGCGGGAGAAGTTTCCAGCGCCTTGTGTGGGTATTTGTCAGCAAAGGTCAAGGGGAAAACTCAGAGTAGCAAAGGGGCAACCTCATCCCAAACGTTGCCACTTGGAAATTAATTGGGCACTTTTCTTCATAGTCCAGATATGCAGCTCTCTGAAGATCTATGACAGCCTCCTCCAACTTCCTGACCTTGAGAAGGGCTGAATTATGACTCCCATCGTTTCTAGCCAGCTTGGGAAGATGTGAAGGACTGTTGTATGGAGAGTTTCTCCTAATCTCTGCTGAGGCTTTCCAATCCTGTGCCCAGTTTTTTTGCCTTTTGTAAAATACCAGCCCTGCGTCTGTGTGGCAACCTGCGGCTGGGAGCTTCACAGCAGGGATTGCGAAAGATACTATTACTGTGTTTCTCCACTGTCGGTGCCTGATCACAGCCGTTCAAATGTGGCAAGAACGCGAACTGATGAAAGCTGGAACATGAAAAAAGTTGCAAAGATGGGCTGGGTCATGGGGTTTGAAGATGGAGAGGATTCCTCCAGGGGATGGCCATACTGGTGCAGGGCAGTGTGAGGGGTTTCTTTGAAAGTGTTATTTGAGATTGTGGTTAGAGAAAGGCTGTGTTGTTAGCACTGTTCTATGATCACTTTCCCAGCTGGGCAACAGCAATTGTTTGGAAAAGACCTGAAAGGGATTTGAAAGAAGGCTTTCAGGAGTTGACATGCAAACCTATTTCTTCTGGGGCCCTCCCTTTCCTCCCGGATAGACACATTTGGCAGGTTTTTGAAAGAGGACCCCCCCCCCCAATCAAAACTGCTGACCAGGAGCAAACATGAGCTGAGTACCCACGTCACAAGCAATAGTCCCTTTGTCAAGGCATCCTCAACGTTCTGGGGATCTGCTCCCACCCCCAAATATCTTTTCTTTTACTCTGATCCCTAATCCCACACTAACCTGTTGTAGAGAAGGGGAATGAAAGCACCTTGGACTTAAAGCCGCCTTGCTCATTCTCATCGAGATGCTGAGTATGTGCCTGAGTTCTAGCCCTTCCAACTGGCACTGGGCCTGAGATGATAGAATGTTTCTGCTTATGAAAATAAAACAAACCCCTCTATATAGAGGCTTCGCAAATGCTTACTTGTCCGGGAGCAGCATCCTGGCCAGTCCTTTCCCTTGGCTTGCTAGTGTTTACAGTGCACCGAATTCTGTGGTGGCGGAGGCTGGTTAGGGGCCCAACGTGCGAGTCTTCAGCTGCACGCTCAAGTGGGACACACCAGCTCTAGGTCTGCAGCCTCAGTGAGAGCTAGGCACTCAGAGAAAGAGAGGTGAGCTGTCCGCTCAGATCTCCTTCTAGCTACAGGGCTCACTTACGAGTTACTGGAACGTCCGCTGACTTTGTCCAGATGGACTTTTAGGAGGTGATGTGCCCTGTCCAGCTGCTTGGAGATCAAGTGGTCTGGAGGGGTTTGCTCAAGGGTGCGGTTTAGGGCCGAGTCCCCCGTCCCTCCAGCATCGTCCCTGCGGGCTTGGTGGACCCCGTGGCCCAGAGCACCTTCTGCCGACTGGCGGGTGCCCCAGCTGCAGCGCTCTCTGGACAGAGGGAGTCTGCTTACGCTCACCCCATGCTCCGGGAACCTCCTGTCGGTCTGTGGCCTTGCAGTCTACACGCCACTGCCTCTGAAAGTGGGTTAGAAACTCCAGCTGGTCCCAAATACACCAGCAGGTTGCTCTTGGCGTCAGTGTGAATGTGCTGCAGCAGTGGCCTGTGCTTTGCACCAGCTTCCAGTCTGTTTCGAGGTCCAGTTCAAAGCCCTGGGATTGCCTTTTAGACAGCTTTGGTACATGGAGGGACATCTCTTCCCATATATACCCCCTAGACCTTCCAGTCGCCTTCGGACCCTGTGTGGGAGGTGAGGGGCTGCCTGGAGAGGGTCATGGGGGGGCCCAGTTGGAAGGAGGTTTGGCTGATACCCACCTTGAGGTCTTTCTGTTGCCCAGGGAAGACCTTTTTTTAATTCTCCCTTGCCTCTGAGTCCTTCAGTTTTAAGCAAATAGTGCATTTTAAGATCATTGCGCCGCTGCTGAATTTTACTTTTTTTATTCTAGCTTCATGCCTTGGATTGGTTTGTTTGAATGTCTTTATGTTTACTGTATTTTATGTTTTTAAGTGTTCTTTCTGAGCCATGCAGAACGCTTTGGCTACTGGCCGTTATGGAAATACTATAAACACAGAAACCAGTCAATTGATCAATCAGCAACGTATTCCTTTCCTCGATATGAGCCAATGCTTTGAAAGGGAACCAAAATGAGTGTCTTGTTAGAGCAAATGACAATTCTGGTGGTTGCTCCCCCTCCCCCCCCGCCGCCCCCACAAGCCACCCTTGCCAGGTTCAAATGACACAAGAGGCTGTGCTGACGAAATATACTTCCGCACATCCGGTTGCCTAACCGCCCTGCAGTCATGTCACCGGGGCCGGTGAGAGTCCCTGGATGTTCTGCTGATTGCGCCCAAGGGTGGGCTGACAATTTTTTTTGGGGGGGGGCAATCCAGTTATGCAGCCATTGGTAAAGCGTCCTGTAGGTGCCCTCCAGTATGAATTACTTTTGCATCATATGCACAGTACCATAACCTCCTGTAAGGTGCAAAGACCAAGAGCAAATTGGATGGACCGGCATGACTAAGCTTCTTGCATTGTATACAAGATAAAAATAGAAATAGCCCATTGCCAAATGCTTGGCTGGGTAGTTAGCATGTTCAGGAGGCTATGTGGTGTTGCTCTGGTTCTCCGACTGCCTTTGCCGCCACCTACACTTTTCTTCTTGGGTTCCTGTTATCCACTCTTTATTCACAGCTGCCACCTGCTCTGTGGCTCTGCTATCACCACTTGGGCTCTCATAAGGTTGCCAACTGACCAGAAGAAAAATGCACAGGAGCAGGCCGGACTTGTTAGTACAAGCTGAGCAGCAAAAATGCTTCAGTCCCCGAATAGGTTTGTGTATTTGTCCATTTGCAGAAATAAAATTGCTTTTGGGCTTGTTTCCGAACCAGCGTGACATTCTGACTGTCACTGGGAACCATGGCTTGGGGTCAGCAGTGATGGGGGCTCTGAGAACAGAGCAGGTAAGAAATTTGCAGGGCTTTATATCAACAAACCAGGATAATCAGACTTTGGAAATGAGCTGGCCAGCATTTTTGTGTACCAGTCTTTGCTCCTGTGTCCCCTACGGCAGTTTGATGCCCAGATATTAGAAATGGCAGCCATGATCCCTGTTTCTCAGAAAGTTTCACTAGCTGATTCTTGCAACTCAATCTCTTGTTAAAGGCAAAAACTCAGTGCAAAGACCCCACCCGGTAATGTAGCAACTTAATTTGAAAAATCCAAAGATCCCAAAATTCCCTCCCTCCTCTCTCTTGTTGAGGATTATCAACCCCACCCCTATTAAAATAAGAAAGGACACTTTTGCTGACTGGGAAGAAGAGGTGGAAAAAACCCATTAACAATACTTCAGCAAAAGATCCAGGAAGAGGGCCAGTTAAAAAACATGAACAAACTTCGGTAGCCTCTTTTTGCTAGGGCTATTTGGTATTT